TATCACATATACTTTAAAGAGTATGTCATTAGGTAATAGAAAGATTTACGACAGTGCAACCATCAGGTAGAAAAAAAGAATATCTATAAAATGATAAAAAATTGCTAATTGAAGTAAAATAAAATCTAAAATACCAGGTGTCATATTACAACGATGTAGCTATATTTATAGATTTAACCGAGCGTCCTGGAAACTGAGCTTATCAAGACCAATACAATTGACTGCATTCTCATAGAGATAGTTACTGTTCATTCAAGCAAAGCTGCAGTTCTATAGTTTCCTAGAATAATAATTGAATTGAATAATTAGGGTCATTTAAACTAATACGATGAATAACTACTAATTTAAACATGAAATCAATCTTCAAAGTGATCAATAAAAATTAAGTTAATTCGGAATATTATGACACATGATGAGTCCATCAAATTTACTAATACAAACTACAGGCATACCATTGTGAAAACTGTGTTTCATTGAGGATTCACAAATCTGTAAGGTTATATCTAATTTCTACTTATAATATCTCATAACGACATTTGAATAAAGAAAAATAAATTAGTCTATTATAAAATTAATAAAAAATATGTGTAATAAGTTAAATATACTCTTAAAACATTAATAATAAACAATTTTGTTTTAATATGCTTACTTATATTTTTCATCCATACATCCCGTACATGTTTTTATATGTTGTAAGTATTATGAAATCAACAGTTACTAACAAATTGGACGAGACAAAAACATATTACGATTTGTAATAATAATATATTCTATTTATTTCTTTTCATCTCTACATAAAAATATTTATCCCTATATCCCTACTAATATTATAAATGCGAAAGTAACTCTGTCTGTCTGTCTGTCTGTCTGTCTGTCTGTCTGTCTGTCTGTCTGCTACGCTTTCACGCCTAAACCACTGAACTGATTTTAATGAAATTCGGTACAGAGATAGAGTTGACCTTGAGAAAGAACATAGGATAGTTTTTAACCCAGACTTTTGAAAGGTTCTCTTGGAAACGCGATATAACCGAACTCCACGCGGCGAAGCTGAGGGCGGAAAGCTAGTTAATATTATAAATGCGAAAGTAACTCTGTCTGTCTGTCTGTCTGTCTGTCTGCTACGCTTTCACGCCTAAACCACTGAACTGATTTTAATGAAATTCGGTACAGAGATAGAGTTGACCTTGAGAAAGAACATAGGATAATTTTTATCCCAGACTTTTGAAAGGTTCTCTTGGAAACGCGATATAACCGAACTCCACGCGGCGAAGCTGCGGGCGGAAAGCTAGTATAATATATAGAAGACTCAAATCTTATTTATTATTACATTATGTTTAACTTTTTGTGACGTTATATATATCCCTGTTTTAAAAGTGCCTGGTATTACTGAAGTTAAATCGTTTCTGGACAGGCCTTTGGGAAATGGAGAATTCAAATAAAGGACTCGGAAGTGAAGGGGAAACATTTTACAGAAACTTTGTGATATATATATATATATATTTAAATATATATATAATATACTATATTATATATATATATATATATATATATATATATATATATATATATATATATATATATATATATATATATATACATAAAACTAATAATATAAAATTACGCAACATTACATCTTAATCATATTTTCTTTGTAACTACTTATTAATGGATATTAAAAATTTATATTTAATGACATAAAAGACATTATGTAATTATAACTTAGCTTATGATAAATACCTCGTTAAATTCGATATAAAAATTATGTTGACTATTTTTCATAGTAACACAATATTTCGCCGTTAATTTTTATGGAAACATAGAATATATGTATATCTGAAGAAATAATCGTCTTCTTTTGTTTAATATATAAAGTTAAAGAAAAATACCTTCATTGTGATTTCATGAATAACTGTTTTGTCTAAACTAACTCATAAAAGAGGACAAAAGGACGTCTATTTTAAACAATCAAAAATATTTTTTATCTAATTTGCTATCTATATAAATAATAAGTTACCTACTGTTTAGAAATTCAGATAGACATCTTCAATCCTTGTTCAAATTCAAAAACTCAGCAATATTTATTTTAATTATTAAAATTAATTATTTCGAAAACCTTAAAAAAAATTAAAATGTATGCAGGTAATATCTCGTTCATCTCATGTTTTATCAATTTTTATTATTATTTATTTGTGAAATAACATCAGTTTTCCCAAGCCATTAATAGCTCAACTTCGTACAATTGAAAACATTTTTTATTATTACATAAAATATAAGTATATTTTTTAGATATAAATATGACCTAATTTGGTTGGTTCTTTGTTACTCAGTAAAAATAGAACAATATTTTACGACGATAAAATAATACAACAACAATAATAAATTCTTAGAATCATTTCATTCATTATTATTAAGTCCACTAGAGAGTGGAGGAGATACATAAATATTGTTTCGGTGACAATACAATTTGCACGATTCCATTAAAAACTTTTGTCACGGTGACAATGGGTAGCTTTTATTGTTCCCTACTTCTTTATGAATGCTTAGATAACTTTTACGTCTCTCAAGTCGTCCCTTATCATGGCAGTGTAATGGCTTAAAGTAATCAGAGCCAGCAGACTAGACATATCTAAATTATAAGCGCTTTCCCTTAGTAAACGTTATTTATTACGTCATATATATCTTCATTATCTACAGAGGAATGCAGAAAAAAAACAAACTACATGTAATAACTTATTAATATACACACCTAAAAGTGATTTGAAAACATAATATCTTGAGCCGAAATATATTGTCTGTAATTTATTTTTATTGGAGAAAATAAATAATATTTATATTTTACAATACTTTAACCTCGAGATCTCTTTTTCTGTTGATATTTTTTCTTTTTCATACTTAATAAAACAAACGAGTTCGTTCTAAAAGTATATATATGCAGTACAAATTTACTTAATAACTAACTACAAAACCAGTATATATAAAATTATTATGAATGAAATAATTTAAAAGTTATATAATATATTGTATGTAATCCTATAAAAACCAGTTTGTACAACCTTTAGTTATAATATAAATATATAAGAGAAAACTGTGACTAACACATGACTAAGGTACTAGCAGTTTTCGTATCCTTATAACTTTTAACTGTCTCCAAATGACGTCATAGAAGAAGAAAGTAGGTACGCATTCTTCATTTGAAACTGTACACAATTTAATGGAACTCACAATAAAAATTACATACATGTACTTGTTAAATTAAAATAATCTTTCGTTTTTTACCTGTCAATTGTACAATATTTTCTTTTAACTCACTTCAAAAAATATTATTCTATTCTTCTAAAAACAGACTTAAAATTATTCAGATTCATTCTAATTCTGGGCATTGTCCGCAGTTTTGTTCGTGTAAAAATTTATATGTGGCCTATGTTTTTATTCAGGTCATATTCTACCTGTAGGGTTTTTTTATTCATGTGCGAATAGGCAGTAAAAAATTTGCTAAAATTTTATTTCTACGACCCACAGTTATAAAAATGTTTTATAATGGATGATAAAAATCCTATTCTGAAAAAGCCATAGATCAAGACTGACAATATGATACCATAAAAATTAATAAAATTCTCGAAATATTTAGGAATGGTAGTTTTGTTCGTTTACTAAATAATCTTGGACTACAGACACAGGTATATTAAGTAAGGGATTCAAAGCAAAGTAAATCCTTGTTTCCGATTACCACTAAGATGTGATGAGGTTTGTACGAGTAAGACTTAATATACCCTAACTCTTATCCTTCTTTGATAAGAAAGGCTATAATGAGATAGTTAATTGAATTACACATGTTTATTTTAAATATTATTTACTTGAAATGTGGAGTTGAAAATGTTTATTATATAATAAAGAAACTTAAGTCACAATTATATTAGTATGGTATTATTATGGATATCAATTGAAGTCATATAAATTTAAAGATTTTATTAGTTGCTTATAAGCCAGTTTTTTTTTTCATTAATGTTTATACATTAAATGGTGTTAGTCAAACCAGTCAAAATAAAACATTTTTCATATATCACAACAAATCAATATTAATGAAATGAATTGTAGTCCAAGTAATAATGCCACGACCTTCTCAATTTTTACGTCCACTAAACTGAATGAAGATAAATCAGCAATAAATTTTATTTGATAATTTATTTTCCTGAATTTAAAAACATATCTGTCTTAATTTACCACCAACGCTAGCTTCAGAAAATGCATAGACCTTAACAAAATGGCCTCAAATAATAATCTCTATTCTACATTACTTTAATTTTACTGGTAATGTTCTTAAAGTGAATAAAAGAAAAATCTGTATGGCTTCCTCAAACTTGTGAAGTAGCTGCAAAGAAAATGGTCCATTCCAAAGACATTTGCAATATTTAACTCTTCATACACATACAGAGCTCTTGAACTCCAATACAGCATTTTTCTGCGTAGATTAATAATTATTATACATTTATCAAATGTTTCATTCAGCTATTTTATAGTCATTCTTAATTTACATGTTCATCACGTTGGCATTTTTAGAGAAGCCATATAGTCGTACGTAAACGAATGCGTATGGTAAAATTGAAGTCGGCAAGTTGAAAATTAGGGTTCCCTAAAATAAGGAAAAGGATATGTTGAACCAGCGGCTACACTACATTATAGTTTTGTGCTACCTAAGTTTATACATCAGTGCAATAAACTATATGTGGATTTGTTATACCATAATTCAATATATTACATATATACATTCATACAACATATCAAGAACCACGTTAAATACAACTATTATGATAGTAGTATTAAATGGTTGCTAATCAATTTACATTTATTATTATTACAAACTAATAATTATAATGACTTAGCAGAACCTACTTATTGTAAGATTCAACTCACACATAAGCAAAAGCGAGCTGGTGTGCGTCGTAACCGTATAGTGTCATTGTTACCTGCGCGTGCGCGTGTTGTCAAGAAAGCCTCAGTGCTTACCTGGCGGCCGTGGCGACCGCACTCGCCTGCCGACGATGCGGCAGATCTTGTGACTCTTGTGTAGTGTGTGCAGCACAGTGCCCGTGCGTTAACCCCAACCCCTGATAGTGTAAACCGGATTTTATATTTGGGACGCCCCGCGGCGTGCAAAAAGGTTTGTACACTTTTCACCATACGGTTTAGACATTAGTGTCCGCTCAGCCGAGTGTTAATTTAAGGTAATGTGAAAGTTCTACAATCGTTCGCTGAGTTCGAGGAGTCAGTTGTGACACACTTTTGGCTCAGGTGTGGTGTAGTTAGCAGGTGGGCGCGCCGCTTCTACCGACCAAAATTCCATTCTCGTGAGACCGCTTTCGTAGCAACTTTCTTTTTAACATTTTGCTACAAACATCTTCACCATGAGATTCTAGTAATTATATTTTTCGTTTCAAGGAACATTTAGTTCGTTAAATAGTATACGCTTGAAAAAGTTCGAACAAGTTCTCTAATAGGGAAGACATCAACGCGCAAGAACTATGACCCAAGCGATGATATCATTCCGAAAAAAAAAATAGTTAAACAAATCTTCTTCGTGTTTAAAACCGTACATGATATTACCGGATCTGTTATCAGTTTTTTCCGAGTAAAAACGTCAAACAATGCCACGACTTTGTAAACGGGGACAGCGTATTGGGAGTTGTAACCGGTATGCCCTCCGCCGCGCTCCTCATGCTCCGTGGAAGGGTAGCCTTCGAACATATGTATTAAGACTTAACTACTATACGGGAAGTAAAATTTAATGTAAAAACTTAAATTTTTTTAGCACGTTTAAAGTAAAGAAGTAAACTACCTTCAAAAATAAACGAGAATATAATTACAAGTATTATGCTCTTCTTATATTTTGATTTAAGGTGAAATATGTATTTAAATATTATATATGTATCTTTAGGGATGAAAATTTCTACAAAGACTTACTGTCAATTTTAATATATCCCAGTAACAAATAAGGTTATTTAAAACGACTTTACTTTAAATCTTTTCTAAAATAAATAAAAAAACACAATTATTTGAAAAAAAAAGGAAGTTCGAATTTATATTAAAATCTCTTATATCTTGTACATTTTTATACTGAATCTAATATTACTCCAGTAAGTTTCGATTGTTGAAGTTCGAAAACTTTCTACCTTCGAGTAATAAGAAACTAATTACAATGCACCCTAACACGTATTCCTTGGACTAAAGATAAAACCACGTCCTCAGCCAACTCACTCATGCGGATCACACGAAGCGGTCGCTAATTACGTTATGTTGCTACATCGACCGCATTTTCTAGGCCCATATTCTCCAACAGTTTGTCAATAACGTGAAGCTTACCATCGGTCAATATGAAATAGGAAACAGATGTTATTTGGTAGTGGAAGTTTGAATAAACTTGCTAGTAATACTAACTTAATACACAAATAAAATTTTCGATATGTGTGTTTAAATATACCGTATATAATTATTATATAAATATCATGGAGGTAAAATAGAATAGCATTTTGACTATAAAATATAAATAAAATAAGAACTAGGAAGTTTAAAATAACTCCAGTGCATGTACCTAAAACTTGTTTTTTCTCCGAAGAAATAGCACTCGTAACAAGTTCACTTAAAAATAATAATAAAAGATCTCAACACGTGTGCTTCAGAAAAACAATTTGCGAAATAATGAAGTTTCCAAGCTGCAGTGAGATTATGAGGATTTAAAGTGATAACTGTGCGGAAAAATATTATTTCTATTCCGAGTTTACTCCGACCGCAAAAAAGAATACTTCCAAAACATTCAGTGAAATAAATTGCTTACAAAACGAAGCACTGCAGTCGAATTGGATTGTACAATTGCGGCTATTTGCTCTGATTACATTTTACTTAATTACATGAATATGTATTATAATACAAACGTAAGCTTAGCTGCAAATAAAAGAAATTTATTGTAATAAACTCGTTGAGCTATATCCAATTTGATATTTCCTTATCTTAATCATCACATCCAACAGATCCTTAACCTAATTACCCATAAAGAGATCAGCATAATAAGCAAAACTCCGCAGTAAAATTTAAATAACAAAATATCGTTAAGCCTAACACATAAAAGCCAGTATAAATATTTTCTAATAATTTTGTAATTTAATCCTCTGTGATATAGGTAAATCCCGGTTCCCATAAAAAACCGTCACCTCGCCCAAGGGATTTCTAATTATAAGCTGTTCTTATTATCATATAAATAGCTAAAAATTATTTTAATATAAAATATCTTCTAGAACTAAAATATTATTTCTGAACAACCGAAATTTTTATACACAAATTGGATGAATGAAATAAAACAACTCAAAACATCACCAGTCACAATAAGATCTAATGTCTGCTGTTCTTTTTTCATCCCGAACGTTCCCAATAATTGCGTTAATTGCAAATTTAATTCTGCCTCCAATTGAACGGTCGTTTAACCAAATACCTTCCAATGTTGTTGAATGTAAGGGTGGTATTTCCAGCGTTTATTACAGTCGCACCTGCTCGCCATCAACGAATTCCGAACCGACAAAGTTAATTCCGTTCCGAGTTTAAAGTACGAATAATTAGGTTGGTTAAACTGCAAACCCAAGTCCTCTATTACGTCTCCCGCAAAGGTTACCAAGGACGTTCCCGCTCTTTTCGTTAGTTCGTTTACGGTTAATTATACGAATTTAGAATTAAATTACACTAAATATATTTTAAAAAAATGTGTTTTTTGTGACAATTGCTCAACAATAAATAATATAGACGGATATGTATGAGTCTGCAACAAAAATGGTGTGATAAAAAGTTTGTAGGGTTTGTTAAAAATATAAATATTAACCTTACTAAGTAATGTGACCCATATGTAGAAAAGAGAAGTGACATTAACAAACCACACAAAGCTATTTAATATTTACAATTCATGACAATTCCAAGAAAAAAAGATTCGATATATTATAAAAAAGAGATATATAACATACATTAAGTAACGAGACGTATATTTGTAAACAATTACAGTGTAACGATGATTAGTTTACAAATCTCTTATATAATATGAGATGAAACATCTGTTAAAGACGACAAACGGTTAACAGTCCGTTAGCGGTAACGAGGTCATACGCCGCCATCGCGTGCTTTCAACACGAATGCGAAAATAGAGATATAATTGCAATCAAACGAAGTAGGCAATACGGTCGATGAAACCTACAGAATATATAACTTTTTGATCTAGGACTCAATATCGTTTTATCGTATAAACAATTATCAAATTTTGTAACAAAACTTACTAGTTTAACTATCGTAATAATTCTTTAAATGAAATCACATAGATAAATAAACTAAATAACAAGAGATTTTTTCTATATATTAAATTTTTTTTCTTAATTTGTATCTTAAGACTAAGTGAAGAAAATACTATAATGAACACATCGTACATTATACGTATCTTGGTATAGGTCCTGTGGCGCAACGGATAACGCGTCTGACTACGGATCAGAAGATTCCAGGTTCGAATCCTGGCAGGATCGGATTAATTTTTTAAGATTTTATTTTATCAAAAACAATTATTCAGGTCAGCTTTTTTTATAACACATTTTGTCCTGAAGGAACAATAAGCATGGTGCGCTTTTCACCCTTTTGAAGCACAAAGTGCACTAATGAATTCGATAATCTAGGAGGATTTTCAACTTCCACAGGCACACAACTGGGACGATTTCTAATTCTTATGTGGCACTTTATTACGATGCATTAAGGTTCAATTTTGCGTGCAGTTACTAACAGAATATGTTGACAGAGGCATCTCAACTATCTGGCACGGCATTAATTCACTGTGAAACTGGTTTCTCAAGTGACTGTTTAAAATGTTTAAATAAAATTTATTTCAAAGGATGTATCCTTATTAGTTATAAAAATCCTTTTCTACGTACGATATTTACGAAATTAAACTTTATTTCTATATGGGTTAGGCTGGAATGATTACCATCAAAATCATTAGAAAGCAATTCTTGGTACAGATAAATTAGTATCAGCTGATTAGCTACCCTGTTTCTATTAACCGGTTATTCACATTTACAGTACAATTCTACAAGCATTCTCCAATTTGCATTCGTGTCAATACATCGCATTAGGAACGCCGAGGAATCTAAATCTAACGGTCGACTGAGACCTTATCACGACAAACGTCTTATACATTAAGTTTTACACGTATAATGTGCGTAAGTATCACCATATGACCTTGTAAGGAGCTGGTATGTTTAAAATGAAATAAATTCTTTGAAGTACAGTATTCATATTAAATATACTACTACTGATATTATTACCAATAGATTAAAGAAAATAAATGACTAAATAAATACTCAAAAGAGGTTTCCCAACAAGTTTCGATTCCGTTCCAAATAAAGTATAGGAAGCATGTCTAATAAATATATATCTAGAATATTGCTGGGTCCCCTTCACTAAACGACCTTGCCTCCACGCAAGGCTTGCTGAGCTCCAAGGAATGTGGCCAATGCACCTTTTGTTGACAACTGTACACCCTTCGATTTCAATCGACTTCGAAACAAGGTTCATAGTTGTCATAACACTTTTTGTGTGTCACTTACAAAAGTAATGTCCACCATACTTTATATTTAACAGTGTTATAGGTTATTTTTGTTATCGCGACAATTTATAAAAAAATATTTAAAACTCTTCCATTAACAAATAGTAGGTAAAATTCACTTTATCAAAGCATGAAATCCTAAATTATTACGATTGCTTTCTAAACTTTACAAATATTTTTTTTTACTGTTTCTATTTAATTTATTAGAGACTGTAAACACATATACCAAGTTTATATCTTTTTAACGTCAATCAAATATTCAATTCGTAGTAGTACAATTAATTAATTGTTAATGAAAATTTAATATCAAAGGTAAGTTGAAACAATTTTACTTAATTATATACAAAAGTTATTGCATTGTTCCTTTGAGATGGAATGTCGCGCCGTGTTGCCAAATGAACTGTTGAATTATAAATCTACTTAATATAAGCCGTTCGTTCAATTGTAAGTCTGGTTATTATAAAGCGTTCAATTACATAAACCGTTTTAACGTATTTCAACAGTTGAGCCAATTCAGAATACAATTGGAAAGTATTAAGTTTTACATTACTAATGGGCTTATGATTTTTTCGCACGAAGCGTTACAGGCATTGATTTAATTAAAATAATCCATATGATTCATAAATTTATAGATAATAATTCATATATTGCACAGTATGAGAAAGTGTCTCGAAAGTTAAGTTCGTTTGTAAATAAACATATCCGTTTAATTTTACATATTTCAAATTAGATTCATGTCGCCCGCACAAAGGCTTGCTCAATAACCTACACGCCAAGCTAGTTTCATTGTACGTATTATAATCGACACAGTCTAATCAGCCCCAAGGTGTTATTGCATAAATTCTAAACGGTGCCCACACGAATTAAAATCATATTTCAATTTTGTATATAAAACATAAAAGCGACATTGAATTTAAATGTCCCATATTTAAGAAGTCTCCAGTCCATCTCCTAAACGTCTTAAAAACTCGTATTTTAAATAGAAAAATAACGCGTTTTGCTTAAATATATAAATAATTTTATAAACATTATTAAATCTAAAACAACTGAATGATTCATTTTTATAAGCGCTTCATGATCTCAGTGTTTTAATAAGATATTAATATTTCATAATATATTATGT